GAAATGCAGGTGCGGCGACGATGAATTAGTAAGGAGGGGCGTGAACAATATCGATAATAAAATCGATACCCAAATTTATTACAAAACCGATAACAAAATCGATAAAAATATCTATAGGTTAGTTTAGGTTATCTCGGATGCCATTATCTCTCAGGAAAAGGGCACACTTAGTCCACCGTGGGCCCGTTGTGATGCCGTATTAGAGACATGTCCCTGCTCTTACCCTAGAAATGGAACCACTTCGTAGCTCTGATGAAGCGCACACTGGCTGAATCTAGTTCGGCCAGACATTCAAAAGAAGGAGGAACGAGCATCGACGAGCTCTCGGCAGAGAGCAAACCCATTCTAGTGGCGTGGGTTCCCATGAGGCAATGCCCTGTGAGAACTCCAATAACATGTCGCAGCAGTGGTCGCTCCAAGTAGAGGAGAGGGCGAAATTTACGCTTGTCCAGCTTAGGCCAGATATGTTTTGCTATCCTACAATTAGGCTCCTCAGAGCATCTTATTAGCCCGTTCGACAAAGTTATTCTCCAGCCAGAGCTTGCAAGAAGATAGCGGAATGCCCGCATTACGAGCTGTACTGATTGTAGACAACAAGGTTCCTTTCCCTCGCTAGTTCATCTGCAGTACAGTACAGTTAAGTGCCTTAGTATCCGCTTGGCTGTCAGAAAAGATTGTCACTGCCTTCTGATTAATCAGAGAATCGATCAGGCAACTTGCAGCTTCATTTATTGCTGTTAGTTCAGCCTGAAAAACGCTACATAGATCTGGCAGACGAAAACTAAGCCTAAGTTAGAGTCCTTGCGAGGATACCCCACTTCCTACCGTAAGATCCAACGTGGAGCCATCAGTGTGGGTGCCACCAAACTGCTGCGCCGTAGAACAGAATGGGATGCACAACCTCTATGTACATCCAGTTCACAATGTGAGGCTTCAGTCCCATTTTTCCCTATCGCCGATTTACAGTCATACATAGAAGTTATAGCTTTCTTGCAATGCTCTTCTTTACTGCGCCGCCAAGTTAACTTTCTGTCAAGGATAACGCCCAGATATATAACCTCCTGCGAGAAAAACAGTGCCACACCGTTCAAGGAAAAAGGTTGTAGCCGGACAGCTGTCGTTTCCTTTGAAAAGAGAACCATGCCCGCTTTTGCCGGATTGACACTAAGTCCTGCTTGTTTGTACCAGGTATCTACGACGCGTTAGGCGCATCGGCGTAAGCAATGACTTGGCAACCTGTACCTTGCAACCCTGACAGCAGGGTATCCACCGTTAGATTCCAAAGAAGTGGGGAGAGAAAACCGCCTTGTGGGGTCCCGCGCCTTGCATATCTTGTTAAAGATACCTCCCCCATATCCGAATAAATAGCTCTACTGCCTAACAGGCTAACCTAATATTCGCGGCTTGCGTTTTGGTATGCATGCCGTCGAATTTGTTTTTTTGCGTCACCCTAAATTGACTTGCATGCGTTTGCATTTGATTTCATTGAGCGAAACGTCAAATCAAAATGTCACGCAGAACAAAAATTGGAAATTGAGTTAGCTTCATACGCACGCCGTTCAATTTCGGTTGATCTCATACAAGTTGCATGTGCATGAGAAATTTTTGACAATAAATTGGCGGCGTGCGTGAATATTAGGTTAGCCTGTAAGAGGCGATGAATAAACTCGGCCGTAGGGTGATCCTGCTCAAGGCGAGTTAGGGCTTGAAGAACCGCCCCCGGGAGAACATTATTGAAGGCATAAACTCCTTAAAAGCGAGGGCCTTTGCAGTGCAAAGCTGTATCCACAGATCTACCTCTCTAGTAGGCGTGTTGACATCGAGAGAGGTTAACGAGTCTAGAAGTATTTACAGAAGCTTGAGAAAGAAAGGAATAAGGCTTATCAGTCGAAAGTCGCTTGGTTTAATGTGGGAAGGTCTACCTCCCTTGGTAATAAACACAACTTTCGCCATGGTCCAGCGTTTGGATATGAAACTAAGTTTAAGACAAGCCTTTTAGATACGGTGACCATAAGTATGGATTGAAAATGCAGGACAATTTTTCAAATATATACCTACATAGTATACAAATAACTAAACAGTATATGTATATTTATAATTCTAAATTCTTAATCCATTTTAACTTTAAATATCAATCACGTTTTCTTC